CCCGCTGTGTTTTTTTTTGTGTAGGGGGGGGGGGGGGGGGGGGGGGGAGGGAGGGAGAGCGACTAGTTGACTAGTCACTTACATCCCTATTCTAAGCCTACTCAAGGGCTGATCCAACTCTCTACTGGGAGTCTTTCCAGTGAACTCAGTTGGAATTGAATCAAGTCCTTAGTCTCTGCTAACACTGCAGGCGAGAATTCCAAACAGTGCTCTGTTATGGTGATATTTATGATACTGAATAGTATATCCTGGTGGTTTTCTAACTTTTTTTCTGATGACCCAGTTGAAGAAAATTATTAATATCCACAATCCAATGTATTTTGACTAGAGTGTAGGCTCCGGGATGGGGCAGAGGAGGAGAGCTATAAGGTGTAGGAGGGAGCACCAGCTTTGTGGAGGGTCAGGGCTGTGGCAAGAGGGGCTTACCTTGAATGGCTCACAGTCAACAGTGCAGTAGGGGTGCTAAGGCAGGCTTCCTGCCTCAGCTGGCACCAAAGACCATACAGTGCCCCAGAAGCAGCCAGCAGCAGGTTAACAGGCAGTGGGCACATGAAGCTAGTGTTCAGGGCAGGGCCAGTGCACAGAACCCTATGCACTCTCTTCCCATCCTCTCGTCCCCCCTTCTAGGAGCCGGCTGCTTCTGGGGCACAGCACATTGTGTGTTGCCAGGATAGGCAGGAAGTCTGCCTTAGCACCCACACTGGTCACCTGATCACCCTGCAGCAACAAGACCCTGTGCCTGACATTCCATGAGCCAGTACTGGGTTGTGACCCATAGTTTGAAAACCACTTCTATATCCTATGAACAAAACTTATCTTGTCTCACACACCGCAGGAGAGATAACAGGTAATGAAGGTCCAAAACATGATCCTGTACGCTTATCCATCAAAAAAAAAAAAAAAAAACCACACTTGGATTTACTCTGGTGGCCTACACACAAAAAATTTGCAAAGGACAAACAATGCCCACCTTACTAACAAGATCAGATCCACTGACTGCTACAGCATGCTTGTGTAAGAAAAGTGAGTGGGATTTGTGCTTTATCACCATAAAATATTAAAGTTCATGGGAAGCTTATTAGCATAATATGGTAATTAACTCAAATGAACTTAGAATAAAATATGAAAATGTTCTATCCCTATACTACTTTGGCAAACATTTAACTATAGAATTAAGATACAGTATCAGGTCACTGGTCTTCCACTTCATGTACTCCGAATAAAAAATTGTAATTGTGTTACAAGTCAAATCAGTTTACTGTTTTTCCACATATTATATAGCGGATTTTTTTTCTCAGTCATAAAACAACCATATTTGCAAGGCACCATGTAAATCTATAGCATATAGAAATTATTTTTAACAAAATGCTAATAGTAACACCTTCACACAATTGGTAACAGTCTCTACCATGTAGGCCAAGTATTGAAACAGCTGAATTAAAAAAAAAAAAAAAAAAAAAAAAAAAAAAAAAATCACAGTCTATTAGCAGAACTGCTTGAAAAGACTGCAGTGTCTGGCTCTAGTTTACACAATATTAGCAGGTTTCATTTTCATGGGCCACAAATTACCCTGATATTAAAGTACTAGGTAAACTTAAGTTACTAAAAGCCAAATTCTGCATTCTTCACTCAAGAAAAACTCCCATTGCTTTAAAGACAGCAGAATTTGCCCCATGTGATTTACAATATTTTATATATATATATATATAAAAATCTTACATTTGCAAATTATGTTTATTTTCATTTTTCTTTTCTGTTGTATACTAAAAATGGCACACACTACCTCTTTGTAAGAGGACATAATCCTTTCAATGGCATCTGCTCCAGAGACCAACAGATTTCGTGAAGTGGTAAAGGCTTCCGTTCGCTCACTGACCATAGCTTGTTTCTGGCCATCTTCTAACTCTAAAACAAAACAAAACAAACAAACAAAAAAAACAAAAAAAGAAAAAAAGTTCTTCTGTTCAAATATTCTTCTCAAAAAAAATCTCTACAAGTTGAATTATGGTTAAAATGTGAGCCATTATTAAAACAGATATTATATCAAGAACATTTTCACTCCATGAAGACTTTTTGAAAGAAACAAAAAAGGAAAGCAATTAACACAAAACTTGTAGCAACGAAGAAAAAGTGGGAGTATAATCATCTTTTTTTTCCCTTTTTCACACTCGTCATCCTCTTTGTCTTTTTAATATACCATTACTCAGTCTGACTTTTACCACAACTGTAATGAGTCAAACCTAAGTAATATTCTAATACATAATTTTAGTTTCATTGTTTTGTTTTTATTCTTACAGTTATTACTCATTTTCAACCTTACTTAATTCTTCACTCAACTATGAATGCTCCTTTTTTTTTTTTACTCATGCACATTTGGTAAAATTAGAATATTTTATAAGAAAGCAATTAACTAACAGTAAGTTTCTATATTACTCTTGGTAGTATAAAAGGGATCTGTGTTTGAGTAAGAGCCTTCTTTCTCAAAGTTACTGTTTGATTTCATAATGAAGTCATAATCCTTTGTTTGTAATATTGTAGCCTGAAAATCCTTCTGAATCAAATAAGGAACAGGAAATGTGTTATGAGAAAATACTCTTAACAACTGAGTAAGGCAAAAATGGCAGCTGAAACCAGATAGAGCATATGAAAAAGAAACACATATATGTTTAAATATAATATCTTCATATGAAGTGTTTGTTTTTCCCCAGAGTAAAATTCATTCTTGAAATGTTTCATGTCTGCAGTCCAATTCTGCTATATCTCTTGTCGTCATCACACCCACAGAAACTGCTATTCAACATGGAGCCAACCTGCAATTTGCTACTCCACAAAATCATCAAGATAATAATATGGATAATTTTTTTAAGATTGAATAATACAATTCTTAACATTTGCAACTAAGCAAATTAAGACAATCATATGATATAAATGAAATGTTAAATCTGATGTTTC